ACCTTATGCAGTTGCGAGTGCCGTAAAACCTCTGCTAAAACTAAACTAAACTAGGAAAGATGACGGGGAGTAGATTGGGATAATTTTCGTGGTTTTGGGACATAAAAAGCGGAGTGAAACAGGAAAAGGGTCAAGGTCACGAAGGGAGCGAAGCAGTTACCGTGCACCTGGCTCAAGCGCCCGCCCACAAAACAAAATGCCCGGTTACCGTGTACGTAGACACTGAGGCTACGCGCCCGGTTGCTGGTTACCGTGTACATAGATATTGAGGCTACACGCCCGGTTACCATGCGTGTGACATTGAGACTACACACCCGGTTACCGTGTACGTAGACCCCGAGGCTACGTATGCGCCCGGTTGCCGGTTACCGTGTGCGTAGACACTGAGGCTAGCTTATGTGCCCGGTTACCGTGTACGTAGACCAGGAGGCTACGTGCCCGGTTACCGTGTACGTAGACCCCGAGGCTACGTACACGGTAACCGTGTACGTAGACACAGCGATGTCATAATACTAGGCCTATCATGATCTCAGTCTCAAATTTATAAGCTACTCTAGCCTCTAGTGCTCTAGTGATCGAGTGATTTGTTGATGTTTATGACAGTTCATGTCATAACAACAGTCATAGATCTAGTTTACGAGAAAGGCTATGGATTCTAGATCTAGATCTAGATCTAGATCCAGATCTAGATCTAGATATATCTAGATCTAGTTCCTTCTTGTCTTGTATTTGATCTGTAGGTCTCTCTGCCATGCCATGCCAATAGTAACTCACATTTCAATGAGCTGCCCTCAGTCCATCCGGCATTTCCAATGACTGCAAGAGCTATGGATAAAGTGAAGAGGGCCATCCGCAGTGGAGGTTCCATTCTTGTAATTTTCAGTTTCAAGTTAGGTCCCTTCAACTTTCAAGTTTCAAATTTTCCTGAAAAATGTTCCACCGATTTGTGACCGATCATGTGACTAACGTGTCATGTGATCAAGCAAATCTGGTGCGTACTCGAATTTGATTTTTTTTCGCGATACTACAAAGAATCAGTGCAAGTGCTTTTAAGATTAAAGGTTGTATCTGTGATTCTACTGGTTCTCTTTGAAGAAAGATTTCAATCACTGTATTTTGCTTCTCAGGTGTAGCTGTTTTTTCAGCTTCAGATATTTTCCTCAAACCTTTTCCACCCTGAGACTATCCCCTAAAATATTTTTTTTTTAATGGCAACTTCAATCATAGCCGAGATCTCCAAATTAAGATTAAATGTTCGTAAGAATAAGTAACACCCAATGATTCTATCTCTTTTTATTATCTATACACATTGGGACCAGCAGCTGCTGTGAACAGATTCTTAAAATCAGTTTATTGACTTATTTTCGAAAAATAACAACATCAGTTCAAATTCAAGCCCTCGTCTTGTTTCTTGAATAGGCGCCCTGGTTAAATATAATTATAAAAGTTGCTGTAAAAGCGAGACAGTTGATTTTCCGTGTGGAGGTGCCAAACAAACCATTTGCTTCAGTTTAATGCATCGCCAAGTTTTAAATCAGACAATCGTTTAAATTACTCAGGAAAAAAATAACCCAGCTAAGAATCTAATGCTGCATTGGGGATTTTTAAAATCTTTCCCAAGGATCATTAATTTGCCTTCCCACAGAGATTCTGTATAATCTTTGCTTCCCACCAATGATTGTACCTGACATCTTGTTATTAGCAATGATTATACATTGTATATCATCATTGTTATTGGCAAATATAATACAATTGGTACACTCATTGTTCCCACGCGATTTTTTGGGTATCGACTACTCTAGAGATTTCCAACCAACATTGCATTGTTTACATTGCCTGCTGTGATGCTACTGCTAAGTACTGCTAGCATCTATGCATGCAAGTTTAGCGGCCGGCCAGGCATCATAATTGCAGATCAGCACTGATTATTGTACCGTAGTGTCTGCATTTTGGCTGTTCATACTTAGACCAAGATGAATGATTTAATGGACAATGTTATAAATTATGAAAAATCCAATGAAGACGATTATTATGCCATTCTCGGATGCGATGAAAATTCATCTGTAAGTGAAATGAAGCTGCATGTTGACAGCGGTGATGTTGTCCTTCCCTGCACTTTCACCTTTACACTTCTTGAATCTTGTATTGTAATGGTCCTCGAGTCTAGAACTAGAATCTAGTCTAGAATCAAATCTGCTGTTTTACATTCTGGTTCGAACTCAACTGTGTCTGCTTGAACAGTTGTACCTTAAGATTAAGACATTATGTGTTAATGTTAACCTTGTTTCATCATAAACAGCATATATCAAACCTTGGCCTTGGCCTTCATGGGCTCCTTTCTTCTCCACCTGTCGAATTGTCATGTCAAATTGATATTAAATTTTAACACAAATGTAGATCTATTTGTACTGAGATATCACTGGTCTAATGGGTATCTTGCCTTACTTGAGCTTTGAAATATGTTAAGAAAAAAAACCTCTCATGCCACCAATTTTTGTCGACATCATTTGACAATTATATTGTACCTCAGCATTATTTTCACCCAGTTAGGGAGGAAGGAAACCGATCATTTCGTAATTTTTGCTAGGGCAATGCGAGTTTGATGTTTTTAAATGTGGAACGAAATGACAGTCTCCATTCAATCTATTTGTGGATTTGGATTTGTGGTGTGACGAGATGACTATACGACGTCTTGACTGCACACGTGTGACAAAATGATCGTGTTATGAAATGAGTGGTAATCGAGAGGAATTCCGTAATGAGCAACCACAATAAATAAAGTATAGATTAGATGGGTAGGGTTAGGGCAATTATAAGAGTTTGAGTGATGGTTTGGGTTAGGGTAGGGTCAGGGTTTAAAAGGTAATGTCTCTTATACTTTACTGTATTTGTTGGGGTGGTCGTTGGTTACGAAAGTCCTTCCCCCAGTCATCTTGACCTTTCTCCTACACAACCTTTTTGGGGCAGTTTGACTTTTACTTCTGTTATGATGTGAACTTGCTGAAGTGTGCAACAACCATGTACTGACAAAGGATCCTGTTTTACAAGTCATAGTAGATCTCCCTAAGAACCTTATTGCTGTTTCTTTCGCTCTACAGGAAGAGCAGATAGCAGCGGAGTATAAAGTGAGGGTACTTTCTTGTCACCCAGACAAACATCCAGATGACAACACTGCTCGTAAGTTTCGAATCCCAGACATCATATTTGTCTCTTCAGTTTGGAGTCGAGTGATGGTAGCCTCTCTATAGCCTGGAGTGTATACTAAATAATCATTTAAGTCTTTAAGCCATCTCATGGGCAATTTGTTACATTGTACAGATTCTATTATTCCATTGAAATTACCCTCATTAAATATTTTCTTTTGATGTAACATAACAGGAGATGTAGTGTGGGCTTTAAAGATAAAGATGTAGTATGCAGTGAAAGTTTGGTCTTTAAAGTTATTACATCTATTTAGTTCACTTTAGCAGTTGAGAGCATTTTATGGAAACACTCTGATATTACTCTCAAATGTACTTAAATAATGTTTTTGTTTAGTTTGGGTTTTTGGTGGGGGGGGTTGGGGGGCAGTTAGGGAGAGGGTTTTTTCTTTGTTTATTTTTGTTTATTTGTTTGTTTCTAACATCACAGATTCAAGGTTTGCGCAGTTGTCACAAGCAAAAGACGTGTTGCTGGACCCAGAAAAGCGGAGAGATTATGACAAATGGAGACACAGCGGCATATCTATTCCTTTTGACACTTGGAAGTCAATGAGTCAAGTCAAAACGGTAAATCAAATTAGGAGAAAAGCAGTTGTCTTAGACAGGTTCTTGTTCTTGTTCTTGTTTCAGGAAGCAACATCCCTGCACTCCGGACATATCCATTGATGCTCCGTTGCTCTCTCCAAAATGTT